CTATAGTGTATCCAAATCTTACCTGTAACATACACACAGTAGCTATAGTGTATCCAAATCTTACCCATAACATACACACAGTAGCTATAGTGTACCCAAATCTTACCTGTAACATACACATAGTAGCTATAGTGTATCCAAATCTTACCTATAACATACATATAGTGTACTCAAATCTTACCCATAACATACACACAGTAGCTATAGTGTATCCAAATCTTACCTGTAACATACACACAGTAGCTATAGTGTACCCAAATCTTACCCATAACATACATATAGTGTCTATAGTGTACCCAAATCTTACCTATAACATACACACAGTAGCTATAGTGTACCCAAATCTTACCCATAACATACACATAGTAGCTATAGTGTACCCAAATCTTACCCATAACATACACATAGTAGCTGCAGTGTATCCAAATCTTGCTTATAACATACACATAGGAGCTATAATGTATCTCAATCTTACCTACAACATACATATTAGCTATACCGTATCCAAATCTTACCTAGAACACATATATTAGCTATGTAAAAATGTGCTATGTAAAAGTCCTATCTGTACTAGATAAATATTAGCTATAATATGTAAAAACCTTCTCCATATTACACACATTAGCTATAATATATATAATTTGTACCTATAACATATATAAAGAGCATCTATAATGCATTCTAGATACCTATAATATATACAGATTAGCTATAATATATAAAGATTTACCTATATTACATACCTATTGGCTGTACTACATAAAATCCTTATCTATAATATATGGATAGTATCTCTAATGTATCTAAAAGTCTCTATAATATAAACCTATTAGCTCTAATACGTAAAAATCTTACCTATTATATACATATTAGCCCTAATTTGTAAAGTCTTATCTATAACATACACATATTAGCTCTAATAGGTACAGGGCTTGTCTGCAATGTCCACGTATTAGCTCTAAAGATGTAAAGGTGAGATAGAGACGTAAAAATCTTACCTCTGTTGTACACATATCAGATGTATACACACAAATCTTACCTGTAAAATATACCTATTAGCTCTAATATGTACAAATCGTGTTTACATGCATAGTAGCTAGGACATACTTACAACTCTTCTCCGTAATAGATACGTGTGAGCTATAATCCGTACACAATTCCCTACAACATATACGTATAAAAATCTTCCCTCTGTTACAGGAGCTACAGAACGGACAAATCTTCTCTGTGACATAGATATTAGCTCTATTTACCAAAATATTCTCGAGCTATGAGGCACAACACCCAGAAATCTGCTCTCTCACACATACACACGGCTGTCAGACCCCCAGCCCTCCGTAACGTCGTGTGTCTCACGTTGGGAACCCCCAAAACCCCAGCGAAGGTCTGGGGGTGCCGGGGAGTGGATGAGCATTCCCCTCGCTGCTTAACAGAGATAACGGGGAGCCCCGAGAGCCAGGGGGGGTGAGACCCCAACCCCTCCTGTCCCCCAGCCGGGGCTCCTCTCCCCCCGGCCCTGGGCTGGGGCTGAGCTTCCCAATTCCATATTTAATGGGAAGTAAAGGCACACCTAGGGGGTTGTTCGATAGGGTTTTGTCCCAATGTGTCACGGAACGAGCCACGAATAAAACTTGTGTGGAAGAAGGTTTATTTATGGGTTTCAGCTGGAATTTGCTCGGCGAGGGCTCGGGGTGGGCAGGCAGGAATACAGATGAGATCCCGCTTCCCGCAGGTATAAATTTTACCTCCCCTATCCCAGCCCCGCTCCGGCTTTTTTTAAATTGTATTTTATTGTATCTTATTTGGATTATTCCGGTGAAATTTCCTCTCCAAGGTAAAGAATACCGGGGGGGGCTCCTTGCAGGTTCTCGGGCTCCGCACACCGCTCGGATTTGGCAAATACGAAGCGCGGACATAAAAAAAAAAAAAGCAAACTTCCCCAACCCCAAATCAGGAAAACCAATTTCCCTTCATCTTTAATTAATTAGCTCATGCTAATGAAAGCATCACATCTCCATGACGACCCCGGATTCCGGAGCCCAGCCCAGTACCGCAGCACCAGTTGGAAATTAAACCGATAAATAATAGATGCTCGCCGTTAACGAACTAATTTCAAATGGAAGTTTTAATTTTATGGATTTTTTTTGTTGTTGTTGTTTTTTTAATTTTTAGCCTT